AGATGAAACAAAAGGGATGTGTATCTAAAAAAACCCTGTGTATATATGTGTCTACATGTTACACATATACGCATACAGGTATTTTTCTGTATTTTATATATGTTGTGTAACATGATGTGTATTAAAATAAGATTAATAAAACTTGATCAAGTAAGCTTTCTGACAAATTTGCAGGTAATTCCATTGAATAGAGGAGCAAGATAACTTGAATTAGAAATTTAAGAAAACTAATAAAATGAAAAAATAAGTTTTTGTTTTGCTTAGACATGGAGTAATATCATAATTAAACAGAAGTTTTCTAGTGTTTGTTAAATTGAGACCTTACATAAACCTTTTTGTTATGCAGAAGACGAAAAAGAATTTGACCAAGTTGAGCAACTGTAAGTAAAGAATTTGTATACTATAGTTAATCGTTTGCTTTTTGGTATATTACGGTGTGTTGTATAAAATTACACCTTCTTGTTGACCCAACTGGTAAGCATTAATGATGAATGTGAAAGCACGGTTTATTCCTTTCCTTAAGACTTCCTAACCCCAGAGTGTGCAGAATACTGTTTTCTACCTGGCACTTAATTTTGATATTTAAAAGATATTTAACTTTTTTGAGCACCACGTGTCCTCGTTATAAACTCATTCTAAAAGACTATGACTGTGAGGGGAAATTACTTTTAGGTAGAAATTGTACAAAAGAGGCTTTGAAATTTTTCTCATATATAAATTATTTGTCCATATTAACATACATTTCTCTCACTTGCATGTGGTCAAAGCCCTGACAGCCCTAGGTAAGCCTGTAGAACTGGTGCTGTTGACTGCTTTGGTGGTAACTCCAACCTCTCTGGGGGGGGCTTGTCACTGTGCTGGTGGCTTGGGCTCCCTGGGTGAGGGAATGGCTGCACTACTGGAGCCAAAGGAGCAGGTGTAGGCACTTCTGTTGCTCTTCTGCTTGAGGGTTGGTGCTTCCATGTTGGCTCTCCCTTACTCAGGATGATGCATTTCTAAAGGCTTGCTTGATAAAATAACCCATGCTTCTCTCCCTCTGCCCATGCTTTGAAGACCAGTCACTTCATTTGGCCTGTGAACTTTCCATTTGTTTTAAGATGCAGCCTAGCAGTTCTGCTCTTTAGATGTGTCCAGTCTATTACTGTTTTCTTCCCATCAGTCCTTATTCTCTTCCTGTGCTTATCTCCCTTTTTGGTCCTTCTGAGTAGTGCTGTGTTTCCTTTTTTGAATTTCTTGCTGTAGTGACCTTCTATGTTTTGCTGTGTTGTATTCACTTTCCTGTTCCTTTTTCCAGTGCTTGAAAATATATTTTAGCACTTTTCCCCTTATCTAAACAACTTAAAAGCTGTAATTGAATTATAAAGCGTGGATATGTCTTGGGCATGTAGTGTGCTATATACTGCTGAGTGTTTGCAGGTATGTCTTGGGTTGAAAATTGAATAATTGCCCTTGTCTCACAGCCCTGCTTCTTATAAACATGCTGAAGCTGTATTACTATAGGATCATAACACAGTATAGTGCACTAAAATAAGGTTTTCATGCTTGATGAGATGTAGGATGTGGTTTTGGTCAGCTGCTTGGTATTTACTTTGGAATTCTATCTTAAGTAAACACATATGAGGAAAATCTATTAAACCATGTACTTCTTGCCTGATTTTAGTAACTGAAAGTTATTTCAACTACTGGCTGTATAGAAGATAGATTTGTGTACCAGAGAGATTGGCTCCAAAGGAGCTTTTCTGCTCTGTTATGTCAAATAATGACTAATATGCAGCTGAACTTGGTTATGAGGCTATAATTAAAATGTCACATCCATCAATGTATTAGGTGGGAGGCTAGAGATTCAGAAACAGATTTTTTTTTAGCAATTGTTAATTCAAGTCTTGATTGAGACCAGCACATGTAGCTAGTTATAAGTACTCCAGAACGAGCAATCATATGACTGTTTCAGCCCATATTCTGAAGATGTTGAGCTGTATATTGCTTGTATTTTATTTGAGTATTCACTTTATATACAAATTCTATACACTGAATGAAATGATAGTACAGCAGTCATTTTTGGGAATACTATCACTGTTATGACTTCTGCCCAGAACTTTGTAGGATTTTTGCAGGGGATTGAGTCTTAACTACTTGGCTGAAAGACGTCAAGAGTCACTAATCTGGTTGCTTAAATTTTCTTTACTCTTATTTTTTCTTAACTTCACATGCTAAAAGTGAAAATCAAATACATTTTAGGTGTACTCTGTGGTTGGGTTGTGGGACTGGCATGACTGTGCTCATCCTATACTTAAAAGTTAACTTTTGGAATTTAACCTCTCTTTCTTATAGTAAATCAGAAGAAAGCAATGGTCTGGAAAACGGTGGTGCTAGGCACAGAAAAACTTAATCAGGTTCCTGAAAAGGTAAGTAGGAGATGAAACAGAGACCAGAGTTTACTTTTCTCTTCAGCACCCTAATATAAGGACAAAGAAATACACTGTGCCATCCCACTCTGGATTTTTTTTGATGTGGGAACAACATAGAAATAGAACCATTGTTTAGGTGCAACAATACGTAGAAATTTATGATGTAATATCAGCAAGAGAGTCTAAAACCTTTTAATTCAACACTGTGGTGTTGTGGTTTAGTAGTGCTGTTCACCCGTGCAGTCCTTAAAATAGAACCCAGATTAACCTCCTTAATAGCTTGGCTCCTGATCATGAAACATTTCTGTGAATGCTAGAGTAGGTGCTGAGATGCATAAGAGTTGCTGATGTATCCAAATCCTGCCCTTTCAGGCTGTATTTTGGATGTCAGATGGGTTTATGGAGTAAGGATGCAAGTGTAATAGCAAGCGGGGCATGTGACAGCACCAGAGGTACAAAACAAGGGATTATAGGAGTCAAGGAAAGAAGACACAGCTTAATAGATGGTGATTGAAAGGATTATTGGTAGAAGAAGGAAGCAGAGAATATGTAGCCCTGTGGAAGCTATGTAATGAACTTCCTTGATTCTCTGTCCTCTTTACAGCCTAATTGCAGGCTCCTTCTACTTGTGCCAGCTGGAAATGCTTGTCAGAGGATGGTCTGTCAGTTGAGGACCAATCCTACACACTAGCTATTTCCCCTTGTTGTTCCCTCTTTGCATCTGGCACCCCAGTCTCTCATCTCAAGATGAGAGGTGTGATTTTGCATTCATTGCACTGCTGGAACTGTTTTTCCTCATCACAAGCCATTTACCTGAGGGAAGATTGTTTCCATACCGTTTGTTTTAAAAAAGAGAAGTGTCAGGTAAAGCTCATATAAAGAGAGTAACAAATCAGAAACAAATACTTTCCAAGAGTATATTGTCTCCTCTTTTTCCTGCATGTTGTTGTTGTTGATTGCTGTGACTTAGGTTCTCAATGATTTATCCCATATTGGATCTAAGGTCCCATTCTTGTGCCCTTTTGTCTTGTGAAACTCAGTGAATCACTAAGGATTCAGATTCGCAAATTGGACCATTCAAAAAAAATTTTAAAATATGAAGTGGAATGAAGTTTCTTTTCAAACAAACATGGGAAAATATTAAACCGCAAAGTAATAAATTCGTCATATAGGAAATGCATTTATTCTCTTTGATTCAGGAGATTTATGACAACAGAAATGGAAATCACCACAAAGCTACAGATGCAGCTGTGCATTTTAAATATCCACTATGCTTCCAAGTAAACTCCTCTACACTTCCAAGAAATAAGATGCTTTTAAAATTGCTGTGAAACTGCTCATTTTGCATGAATGATACTGTGTTCTGATATACTGCATTTAGACCTTTGCTGTCTGTAACGTTGTTTCAGTTTACTACTAAAAGGCATTTTTTATGTGATCAGACTTCCTGTTCTATGACTGATCTGTTCGATTTTTATGTCCTAAAGTGGAACTAACCTTGCATTCACTGAATGAACAGGTAATATATATGGGCCTATTAACTAAGTGGTACAAATGTGGACTTGTAAGATCAAAAAAGTGTTTACACTGAAGAAAATGCCTTTTACTAGCAGATGAAGCAAATGTGACACAGCAACTTTTACCAAAGAAATGGTCAAAGGGAAATCTTTATCATGATTTAAATTAATTACTAAGTTTTGCAGTTTGCTCTGAACAGTAAAACATCTTCATTCTCACTTTTCTTAGCTTCATTTAAATAAGAAGGAAATACAGGTACATTCTGAATACTTATGTGAATTTTCTTAAGATCTCCTGCCATATGTCTGTGCTACTATACTGTAATTCTAAATAGGCTTTTTGTTTTCATAGTTTATTTTGCAGCTTTAACTATAAATTTAAGTCCAAAAAAACCCCAGCGGGAAGTATGTAAGCATTAAGTGATTGACTGTAAGGGCTGAACAGTGATAAAGATTTCCCTTGCTAAGATACTGTGTTTATTGTATTTTGCCTTTGAGCTTCTATGCACTATAAAAATCAGAATGCATTTACAGTTTTTATATGAATTTATCATTGATATAGTAGCATTTTTGTTGTAGGAAGTAAATGTCTGCAGTTTAAATAAGATTTATTTCTGTATATTAATTGTTTGAAGCATAGAATTTTGTATGTTGTAGAAATTAGATTTTTTTTTTGGAAATTCAGTAGTAAAAAAATAAGCTTAGTTATAGATTTAAGAATTAGATTCAGAATAAAGCAGAATTAATATCTTTTGCAACAAAAAGGAGGCTAGGTACTATCTGGAAAAAAGCCCACCTTTTAATCAGAAGTGGTAACAACTTATTTCTACCTTCACTCAGCAT